CTTCTGGTGATTAGCAATAGCAGCTATATCGTGTTTCATATTTTAATCCCACAGGGGTCGTACTGATAGCTTTATTATAAAGATATGTGTTTTTAATAACATTGTTTTCCGCTCCATTAATATCATTAAAAGACTTGAAATTAAATGTATTTTTTATATTGTTTGACTTAATATAAATTAAATCACCAAATCTATATCACAGAAAACAAACAACTAATCTCTAGAATTTACAAAATGACAACTGTTGATATGTCTACGGATATGCAGTTTCAGCTTACTGGCCATCGACTTAGTGTAGTTAGTACACACTGACATTAGACACTCACTGCAACAAAAAATGAGGCTATATATTAATAGAATTAGTGTCTTAATGTTGGACCGGATGCGGATGTCAATGCAATCAGTGCCTCAATCGACTTTGTGGTGATGAATCACGGCTCCATATTTACGACAACACTACACATCCCTAGATATGCCAATCTTCCCTTGAGATGGTAACTCGATTAAATAAGTGTTAAATGGCATTTATTCAGTACTGAAAGTAATAATATTCTGATAAGGTCAAACAGATGAACAAATAGAAAAGATTTATCTAGGTCACAAACATTACTAAAGATTTTATTCAAATGAAGTTAGATAATTCATCTAAATTGTTCTATGTCTATGATTACTCGAAATTTAATAAATATTTTCTATAAATCAATTAAATCACTTTCTATTATCATATTATCTGAAATTTTCTGTTAACTATGCATAAATAACTAAAGAAAAATAATAATCTAAGATAAACAATGTTTCACTAGGGAAATTATGAAAGTAAACAAATCATCTTTTGTTTTTTATATTCTCCGTGAAAAAAATAGTTAAACTTAATATCCTTAAAATATCATTGTTATTAATTAATATTCTTATAACACTAATTATATATTCTGATAACACGCAGAATTCGCTGCAAACCTATACATGTACGTTTTAAATTGTACTGATTAACTAAAAAAGAAATTCAAGCATAGTGAAGACATTCTCATCATCAAGTTCTAGGAAAATACATTCTTGTTTATTAGTAAAAGATACGAAAAGGTTGTTACAAAACCAAGTATATATTTAAAAAGCGCATGACATTCTCTATCATCCTATATGTTTAACCAGTAGTGAATAATTATGTATACATCTTATTTGATTAGTAGGTAAACATTCGTGGGCTGCTGTATAAATTATAGGGAGTACTTGAATATTATGGTATGAGAATGAGTGTACACTAACAATAATTGAAATAGTTGTTACCAAATAATTGTAAGTCAAGTAATGAAAAAGAAACAACAAGTGTAATTCAAAACGCATATATTTAGGGTTTTAGAGAACTCCACGCTCTATCGGAATATATAATTGATTTTGTAACAATATTCATTTGAAATTAAAAGAAATAAAATTCATTTTCAGATGCTTGGTGTTATGTTCAAGGTGGAATGGGTGGTATAAGTAATGCTATAGCGTCATCAGCTCGTTCGCTAGGTGTTGAAATACGTACAAATTGTAATGTTAATCATATAGATATACGTAATTCAAAAGTCGAAGGTATTGTACTTGATAATGGTGAAGAAATTAAAGGAAAAATCGTTGCTTCAAATGCAACAGCATATGTTACATTTAAAAATTTAATTCTAAATGATATTATTAAAACAAATAAAGAATTAGATGAATTAAAAAAACATATTTTACAAATGGATTATACAAGTGGAACAACAAAAATAAATCTTGCTCTATCAGGATTACCGTAAATAATTAAGGAAAAAAAAACGTATACTAATTAGCCTAATTAAAATTTTCTTTTTTTAGAAATTTTCTTGCCAATCCAAATAAAAATTATAATGAACTTGAACCTCATCATCAATGTACAATACATATGAATAGTGAATCACTGTCTAATTTACAAAATGCTTATCTAGAAGCATTAAATGGAAAACCTAGTCAACAACCATTAATTGAAATGGTTGTTATTCAAAAATAAACGACAGAGGAGCATAGTGACCAGTTTTGATTCACTGAGTTTTTCCTAAGTCTAAACTTATGAATACTTATGTTTTTTACAAGCTTAGTCATCACCATAACATTTTTTATTCTTGTAAGCAGAGAGGACAGATGCTTCTTCTGAGATGGAGTCACAAGCCAATTAATTTATCTGTACTGTAAACAATAGAGAATGACGTACGCTGCATTTTGATATACAAATGTTAGAGTAATCAATCTTGAGAGCCTAATATCATAGAAAATAAGAATGAATATATCATTAATATTTCAATGCTAGTAAAATATATGACGAGTTACAAAAGGTTGTGTAACTTGCTAGCGAGAAAATATGGCCATATGTTCGAAGTCAAGATTCTTCTCTTTGACTAGGTGAAAGTAACCATTTCTAGATATCATATTTGCAAGTTTTTCTCAGACTTGTTATATTTCTAGTCAATACAAATAACATATTCGAAATCAGCTTCAAAACTTGAGTTCATCTATGAATGCTTTGTAGTGTTCAAACAAGTTTTATTTTCATCAAAAAGTTCATCTCTGCTCTCTCTTAGCATTCAGCTACAAACAAAATTTCATTGGACAATTGAACAACAAATTTTGATCTTGTAAAACAATTTTAAAAAAAAGGGGCACAAAAAAAGCAGATGAGTACGTTTTAAAATTGGTATTATGATTAATTTCATTTTTTTTGACTGAACCCAGACGAGAAGTCGAGATGAATTTTTTGACAAAAATAAAAGTTAATTGAACGCTTTAAAACATGTATAGGCGATCTAGACTGCTCAAGATATTCTTCTCCGTCAACTCTTGACTCAATGAAAGATCATGTATATAATCTTTTGATACCAAAATGCAGCTCAAATCGTACTTTTTTGATCTGACTATGAATGAGCTGATTGACGAGTGACTCTATCTCAGAAGAAGCAGCTATACTCTTTGATCTCGATAACAAGAAATATTATGGTAATGAGCAAACTTGTAAGAGGCATAAGTATGCATAATTTAAGACTTAGCGGCAAAATTTATGCACGATTAAATTTGCCAACTCAAACGTTACAAAAACGCTCGTAATTTTTATGTTTCTTTTTGAGAAAAACTGAAATGGATGAAAACTGGCCCTTATACATTTTCATTCTTTTAAGTTTTGTAAATTGATTTTTTTCTTTTTAGGTTATTCCTTCTTCACTTGATCCAACATTAGCACCAAAAAATTGTCATGTAGCTTTGCTATTTACTCAATATACACCATATCGTTTACCCAATGGTAAACAAATTGAAATAACAGAAGAATATAAAGAAAACTATTATCAAAATGTAATTAAATCAATTGAAGAATATGCACCAGGTTTTGAAAAGCTTATTATCGGACGTGATATGCTTTTTCCATCTGACTTAGAAGAACAATTTTCATTAACAGGTAAAAATTCCTATTTAAAATTTTCTGCTTCAAATGTTTGAAAAATTAAAAAAAAACAAGGTGGAAATATTTTTCATGGCGCACTTTCACTTGATCAACTTTATTCATTTCGACCAGCAATTTCATGTTCAAATCATCGAACACCTATTCATGGTCTTTATCTATGTGGAAGTTCAACACATCCCGGAGGTAAAATTATTTGATGCAAATGAAAGCTTTTTTACTTTTTTTGAAATATAGGAGGAGTTACCGGTATGCCAGGTTTTAATGCAGCAACGATAATGCTTCAGGATTGGCAACGTAAAAAAAATTCATTTAAGTGATCATTGTTATTTTGTTTCATGATCGAATATTTTACAAGAATATATTGATTTAAATAAGAAGATTGAGATTGAATATTTTTAAGCCAATAATACTATTAAATTTATTAAAACTTACTGGTCGTTTTAATATCATCAAGGTCGAATAAATAAGAAATAAAAACTAGTTGACGTTTATTTGATGCAAGATAACAGATTGATATTGAACTGAAATTCGAAAATGATCAATTATTGTTTTGTATTCATCGATATTATAAATCGAATTAAATTATTTATGAGTATAAGAGATATAATAACTATAAAAAGAAAAAAAAAATTCTTAAATAAATAATCTTCAATTACATATGAGTTTAAAAATTTTCATGTACAATATATTCCATTTGTTTATAATTAATGTGATAAAAAAATATTTATTCTAAATAAATTTTCAGTTTAGATTATAAAGCTTATGCATTTTTGAGATTGTTTTAACTAAGACTTTGCAAATAATAAAATTAGTTTGTTTGCTAATAGAAGAAAAGTATTTTCAAATAACAACATCACATATAAATAATAACCATAGTAGTATAAATAAAAAGTATATATAAACTAGTACTGATTGCAAATAAATCATTTAATTAATGTGTGAATACGATTTTATGAAGTTGAAAGATATCGTTAAAATAAAAACAAACAATATTCTTTATAAATAAATCCCAATTGATCAGTATATCTAACCAATCCCGAAAAATATTGTTTCTCGATTATGATTGGTCAATAGAATAACCGAAAAAATTAATTATTCAAGTGACAAAAAAAAAGTAATAGAAAAAATTAATTATTCAAGTGACAAAAAAAAAGTAATAGAATAAATTAATGTTACCTTGAAGTTATTTTTGTTTTTGATCTATCGATCGATGCATATTGCGTTTAATGCAACGTATAGTACGATTACTTATAAACTTGCTCTGTCAATAATAATACGAACTTAATATTTATATAAGCAAGTTGCGTTTTTTTTTCTTTACAGTACTTAATGCTCTGTCAGTTTTATTGTAAATACGTTGACCTTTGTATGTCTTGTGCTTTCTTTGTTTTCACTCGTCGTTTTTTCGTCTACTAGAACATCTATTTTTTCCTTCAATGATAAATTTAATTTTTAGTTAAATATATTCAACATGAAAAAAACTAACTTTCACTTTGCAATGCATGACAGCATTATTTTATTTTCTATTTAGTATAAAATTGAAATATAAAAAATGAGTTCGGGCGAAATTCTTTACCAAATGGTTTTCCATTATTCACAATTTTGTACTCATCATAGAAGTTAAATTTTTTAAACTAATTTTTTTGCGTGAATAGATTTTGTTACAATTGCTACAATTCTTGGTACAGGTGTTCTGGGTCTACCAACAACATTATCTCACAGTGGTTTCGGACCATTTCTCATTTGTATTTTCATCAGCTATTTTGTTCAAGTAAACTAATTCATGCTCTTTCTTTTATAGAAGTCAATATTATCTTTTTTTTTTCTTAAAGGTATTATTAATATTTTTCTTTACGGAACTCTTGCAAAAAGCTTATTATCGAAATATTGAAAAATTAAAAGAGGTAAGTTAATTCAGTAGTGTGATATTTCAATAAATACAATTTATTATAATTGTTTTTATTTATTTATTTTATATAGAATGAGCAAGAAGAAGTGTTTATTAATATTGATATACAAGAAACACCTACATATGGATCAAACTATGATTTAGTAGCAAAACGCGGTAAGAATCAATGCGATTCATTTCTGTTTATCGTCCAATCTGTTTTCGAATTAATATTTTGTTACAAAGAATTTATGACTTTTTGAGAAAGAATTATTTTCATCGATTGTATGTAACTTGATAAGCTGTTTTGAACAGAAAAAAAATAGCAAAATCTCAGAGGATATTTATATAAGAATATAACGAATAGAGAAAAAAGCTCGCATCAATCATCGTATGAAACATAAGATGCGAGGAAGGATGTCAATCGTATATTTGCTTAACCATTAGTTCATTTTATTTGTTTGCTACCATACTACATACTACTCACACAAACATTTAAATACAGTTAGCGAGTAATCATAGAAAATAGCATACGAACTATGACAACAATACATCTCGTTTCGATTTTGCATTTGTTCATATTGATGAGTTTTAGTATTGTATTGACTATTATTTTCATTATTCAACTGTTAATTGGAATGTGGAATATAATAATGAATTATTATTGTAAGAAACTATCAAATAAACATCCAATCTATAATTTCTTTATATTTCATCATTTAATTGTATGCATAATTCGATGTGTAGTAATATTTTTTTCTTGTTCATCTATAATTATTTTTAATCAATGTCTATCAATTGAAATCTTTGTTCATTTTCTATTATTACTTTCAACATTTGATTTATTATTAATTATTATTGGTGAAATAGCACATTTTTGGGATTCAACAGTAAATCATAAAAGTACACTTTATTCAAAATGTTGTTTAATATTTGGTATAGCTTTTAATTATTTTGTATCAATTCTTCTTCTTTCAATACATTCAATAATGAATGATGAAAATTCTCTTATTATTGAAATATGTCGAAGAATGACAAAAAAAAAATTTATTTTTATTAAGGATTTTCATGATGAAAAACCTTTTATACCGACAATGATTGTTTATGTTTTATTTATTTTAATTGATTTATTAACATATTCATGGATTTATATGTCATATAGCGATATATATCATCTTAAACAAAAAACTTTAGCAACTATCTTTTTTTCTTCACTAGTTTTCACAAATTTTAAACAATCTGAACGTTCATTAATGGTTAATCTTAGTTTAAAACGTATTCGTACTGTTTATTTATTTGTCATAAGTAATATGATCGCTACTCTACCTGTATTAACTATGAGACTTTTTAATATATCAATAGATATATATCAAAGAATATTTTTAATTTATTTTACAACATTACCATGGCTTGATTGTATAACATTTTTATTTTATCATGAAACAAAACTTATTAAGAGAAATTGTTTTCCAAAAAGAAGTGTTTCACATGAAAATGTTAATCGTCAACAACGTATTGGTCGACGCTTAAATTCATATAGAGAGAGTACTATTGTAATGCAAACAGTTGAACATAGATAAAATTACTTATTGTATATGCATTTAGACTATGATGACTTTGTTGTCGTTGTTTGTTTAAGGATTATTTTTTTCATTGTATGTGTATTTTTCTTTGTCTTGTTAATACACTATTTTCAAATTGCTTAGTATTCTCTTACAAATATTTGTAAATATTAAATTTAAATCATTAATTCTTCTTATAAGCTGATATTTAGAGCTTTGAATATGTGTGTGTATTCCAGAGATAGTCACCGAGTGAATTTTCACACGTTGTCCTTTCCTGCTGCACTGAACCGAGCAGGGCAGAGCATCCTGTAGATCAATATCCTCTCTTATTGTCATTTTTAAATTCAATTCAACTGCAACAACATTTGTACATTTTATTATGAAAAATTATTTTATTTAAATGCATTTTACAATATGAATAACTAACAGTTGAACTAGAGAACAACTCTAAATACCAGCGGATATCGCCCTCTGTAAAAAAAAAAACATCGGTTTTCGACTCACAAGGACTCAAATAAACTCTCATTTGAAAATAAAAACACAGAAACATGATGTTCAAATCCGCAGGATATGAAAATGTTACCTTGTCCCATCCTGCACCCTGCGCTACCTTACTCTATCCTGAAGCAGGACAGGGCAGGATTACCTTGCCATGTGAGCATCTCTAATTTTTTCTTTCCTATAGATTTTTCTCGCTATCATATGTCACATTAAGTTCAAATAGACAGTATGTACTTAATCATAGCGTTGTGGATAATTATTGTCTGATTGTATATTATGTATAACATGATTATTCATATTACCGATAAAAAAGTATGAGTTCTTATATCATGCTACAGATTCACAACCAATCTCAGTGACATTATTATTAAAATTTTGCTTATATTATGTATATGATTCAATAACTAGATAAATAGGTAAACAGTTAAATTAATAGATGAATGAATAATTATCTTTCTATCATTTTATATACATACCTACCTGGAATTAAACCTATACAAGTGTGTCACCGTTTCAGTGATCATACTGTTGAGATATGTCATATTTTGCGGGCTGCGATAAAGTCATCGAGGGCACGAATCAATTATGATGATGACTGGTTTTTTTGACACGATTAACTTTTTCAAGCATTGATCCATATAAATTACACAAAAAAATAATTATCATTGCTAATTTCTTTACATGTTTGGTAGTATTTAGTATCATGCTTGAACATTTATTTCTAAGTGTATGCTTTCGAACATCCTTAGACTTCGGAAGTTCCATGAACTTTCTTAATATTATTTTAAATTATCATAAACAAATACGATTTGCTTTATATGTAAAGTAAATATTTTCAAAGAAAAAAAAAGTAATTCTCAAGTCTTTCAGATGTTTTCCTACTACTATTTTTTGTTTGCTTTCAAGATATAAAATTCAGCGAATGTTTGTATTTCGAACAACTCGAGAAATATTCTCAGTCAGTCTTATTACTTTGTGATTATTAATATATATCGACATATGTTTCTTTCTTTTGAAAAAACATATTCAAGTTCTGTACATTTTGAAGTCAAAGCCATACATTGACATTCAACAATACCTTCAGTGTTTAATCCAGCATGGGTGACACTCCTGTGAAGATCGGCTTACGAATCGCCCGAGATGATATCTAGTAGTTGAGGTGACACTTGAGTCATTACGTAGGGTCTATCGAGACCAGAAGAAGCATAGAAAGATTTTTCTTCATGCGTTGCTATTTTGGAATAATGTCTATTACACAGGATTTCTTTTACCTTTGGCTTAGTATTTAAAAAAAAGTCAGACAACTTCTAGTCTCAACAGGTCTTACGTAATGACTGGAGTCTCATCTCAAATGCGAGGCAATACCTTGGGTGGTTACTTCTTATTTGCCCAAAATTTTGTGATGATCATGCCACAGGAGGATACAACAATGAATACCTTGATCTATTGTTTATAATATTTAACTAAAGCAGATCATGATTATAAATAATCCTACAGTTAAGTAGTCATTGTATAGTTCTCAATTAGAATAAACTTGTTTTAACAAAGCATAATGAAAAAGCACTAGTGTCTATCTAGAACTGTATTATTTGATGAAATCTGTATGATAAATTTTTTCACACCTCAAAACTCATTTGTTGTGATTTTCAATAGAAAGATTTTTAAAAATTATTTGAATCTACATGACTGTCTGGAATATGAGCACATACATATTTTTTGATTTTTTCTGGCTTGATACATGATTGCATGTTGATGTTTGATGTACAAATTTTTTTGTATACTAATGTATGAATTTATTTTTCTGATTTGTAGTGTATGATGCAGAAACAGTGAAAAAATGTTTACCAAATTTACATTCGCTTGGTGAACTTTTTTTACCATCTTTCTTTTCGAATTTATTTACATTAATCATATTATCGCAAACGTATGTATTAAATCTTTATAAATCTTTATATTCTATTTATGAGTTTATTAGAATTGCCTTATTGATAAGCTATGCATTAGCCGGTAGCCAAGCATTTGCAGTATTGCTTCAAGTGCAGTAGGAGAAATTTTTATTTTCTTGATCTACTGTTAAAAATAACTTTGTTTTAGATACATTAAAGTAATTCCTGGCTTTTGTTGGATATTAGCATTTATCATTCTGTTATTTCATTCATGGATTCAACTGATTATTTCTGTGTTAACCTTTTGTAAAGGTACACTTTTTACTATAATAGTAAGCAACTTAAAATAATAGTTACATGATTAATATAAACTTTCTTTTTTTTTGTAATATTTATTTTGAAGATCATTATAACACTTGTAGTTGGCACAAAAATTCAAAATCCCGTGAAAGATGATTATAGTGCTATGGGAGATTCAATTTTGATGTGTACAATAGCTTTAGGTATGACGTTTTATTGCTTTTTCTTGAGAAATTGCATTGATATTTTAGCTGGTTTTATAAATATAATGCCGATGATGTTTACTAAACTTAAGCAAACAAGAGAGGAAGTAAGTTGTCTTTTTATATATTTATTAAAGTTATTACTTGTATGGCTTAAGATCATTGGTTTTAATATATCTATATTTCTTGGTTTAACAACATGCGTCATTTTAAATATTGTTTGGTATGTGTTAATTAAATTTATTATAATAAAATAGAGAAGTGAGAATAAGAATGTCGCGAGTAGAGATTAACAAGTTCAGTTCTATTTTAGATCTGAAAATTTTGTTTAGAGGTTCTCTGATCTGAACTGATCTGTTCAAACATTTCTTTCTATAGGAACGGAGCTATTTGAACAGTATTTTGTTTTATTAATGAAATATCGTTCCAAAAAGAAAACAAAATTTTTGAAACAGCTCATGAGAGAACCTCTTCAGGTGTGAAATCGTTAGTGAGTTATAGAAAAGTTTAAAATGGTTTAGTTTTCCAAGTCTTTGTTCCTTGTGGTATCAACATTTTACTCAGTTTTCCAACAGAAAGCTATGAGATTCCTGAGGTCACGTAAAAAAATCAATTTTAGGATTTCGAGGTTCAACTTTGCATGAACAAAGTTTTTAATGGAATTGGTTGATTTGGCAAGTTTTAGCTTTTTTATTATATGTTTTGGAGAGATATAAGTATATCAACAAAATTAGCTTTTCCATACGAGAGAATTTCGAATATTCAATATCTTAGCATAGGAAATACTAGAAAAGCTAAAACTTGCACAAGTAAATAATCTCATTGAAAAATCTATTTGTGTAAAGTTTGACATCGAAGGTTGATTAGTCGTGTCATCTGAGAGGCACTCCAACTTCTTGTTGAAAAACTTAGTAAAATATCGATATGACACGAGCGAAGGATCAGAAAACCAAACCACTCTAGATTTTTCTATTACTCACTAGTAATGATCAAACGAGTATCGTCTCGATCGACAAGTGATTCAGCTCCTGAAGAAGTTCCTTCGTCAGTTCTAGGAATGGATCTATTGATAGAGTTCTTTCACTCAGTTGATCTGAACTTCTGACTGGGATTTGATCAACCTCTAAGTCTCGATATTGTCAAGATTCGAGATAGTCGATGACTCAGAGAATTCATTGGAAGATTTTTGCTAAAGATGATCGAATATTTTTAATGTAGGAGGAGGAAGTCAAACGTTTTTTTTTGAAATCCATGAGCAAAACCAAAAACAATACAATGCTGGAATCTCATTGAGAAAAAATCGAAGTTTTAAGAGATGTGGATGATCGCACCTCATCGCCGCTTGGAACACTCTTAAACAATGATGAAATTTCTTATAGTGAGATATTCTGCAAGCTATTTGCAATACGTCATAAATTGTTAAAGATATGTCGAGAATTCTGTGCAGAGAAAAACAAACTCTAATCTTGTCAAATACATTACATTAAATTTTGAGCACATCGTATTTACGACGATTGTTGAGTAAATTTTATGTGTTAAAACATATAAAATATATGTCTCTTAAATGTTATTTTATCTCAAGGTGTTGGTCAGTATTAGAAATCGTTCCACAACGTAGTGTTTGTTTATCGGATAACTTTAATCAATCTATCCCAATGGCATATAATCTTTTTAATGAATCACTAGTTGAAGGTCAATGTATCTATTCGCCTTCATTAGAAAAGTAATTATGTTAATAAAAGACTCTTTAAAACTTGTTAAACTAAATTCACTAGCTTGTAATATATGTACATGCTTACATTTCAAGCCACGCTTCCTTTGTAACGACAAAGCATCTGTAAATTAATATAATAACCTGCTTCGATAATATAAACAACGTGAACATCATTGATTCATAAAAATTCTTTGCCATTTTAGAACCAATATCTCGACAAAACCAGCGACAATGAAATATTATCCATTGTCAATTCGACTCTTATTCTTTATAAGGGTGATAGTTTTGAACAAGTTCTCTTAGAAGGAACATATGTAAAAATAATGTCTCTTGCAGTTCATAGTTAATTAAGCTTAATTAGATAATGAATTAAAACAATGTATTTTCGAGTTTTTTCAATAATATTAAGCAATCATCTCAAGTGTCCAGATAGTGATTTTAATAGTCGATAGTTTTCTCTTTAACGCATTCTATACTAGAGTAGTTATGATGGTAAGGTTTCTAAAACAATACACACAATAGTTTTCAGGTCCGAAAAGATTTTGTCGCAGCTATTTTTCAACAATGTTATTTTAAAGAGTAGAAAATGTAATGACTACTCATGTTACTTAGAAGTTTTGTGCTCTTGAAAGTGCCATAGTTTACAAATAGCTTGGACAAAGTCTTCCTAAATCTAGAAACTAACATCTTTGTTTCTTAGAAATCGCGCAATCATAGTTCATCTATTATAGGATGCATTAGGTATTAAAGCACGATCTGGATTAGAGATAATTGCTTACGATTTCAAGCATAAAAAAAAATCAAACAGACGTTGTTGTTGAACTGTTTTTCACCACCTTAGGTTTGTGATGAAATTCACAGCAAGATCGGTCTTCACAAAATTGTTTCGTAACAATTAGTTTTTCAGACGTCTATTTCTGAAACAAACAAAAAAGTTTCTGAAAATGTGTTTACACATCCTAATCAATGTTCACGTTTGATTGTTTTCACGTTCATTCAAAAAAACAACATAACGCGTACTTTCTTCATAAAAGACGGCTGAAGATACCTAAAAAAAGGAACTTAAGCATCTGACAAACGTTCAAAAATCTTTTTTTTTTGTCACGATATTTCGACATGTTTTGCAGAGAGAAATGACTTGTTGGCAAGTTTTCATATGTCAAAGTTGGTGTTTTAAGTGTCTCTATAGATCTTTTATGATGAAAGCAGATCGTTTTAGTATCATCTGAATCGGTGTGAGAACGTTCAAATGAAAAGTGTGATTAGATTGTTTAAAAGAATTTTTAGAAACTCTTATCTAATTAATTTTCTGAACTTCTCAATCACTTACCAAAGGATTTTTGTTTCTATGTCTGTGTTCATTCACGTTGTTAAGAACGAAAAAATTCAGTGTTTTAAAAATCTAAACATATTCAGGAAAATCTTTGTGTAGAGATTTTATAGTCTGAAGAGACATGTGACAAAATGCACTATTTTGTTTTCAAACATACGGTTTGAACTTACAAATTTTGTAGAATGAAACGCGCGTAATGAAAACTTTCGTCCTTTTTTTTATCTCACATCCTAAAGCTTGTTTTTTCAATAATAACTCACGAGGAAAGGTCCTCAAGTGTGAATCACCGTTCCGAATGGAAGATATCTCAGTTTGTAGAGCTCGGCGAGCTGATTCTCGTGGTATGATTCATTTTTTCCGATAGAACTTCAAATAAGAAAAACTGATCGATTTTGCTAGTGAATTTCTACACTTTGCATAAGTTTTGAGGCAGTTGTTAGAAATTTAAAACTTCAAACGTACTTAATTTTTATATCGTCATGTTATAGAATAGAGAATGCCGCATGTGATGATCTAATATTTATATTATTTTCAAAGAATCTGGGAACAATATTTCCTTGTAAAACTTATTTTCACCATTGCTATGAATTTTAATTGTTGAATTGTTACACTTGGAGGTATTTGAGCGCTCCTGAGAGAAAATGTTGTTATGTATTCAGAAGATAAAGCTGAACTTATTCTTAAAATAATATAAAAATAGGTCATCGCATGCGACATTCTCTATTCTATAACATAGCCATATAAAAATGAAGTACCTTTGAAGTTCTAAATTTCTAACAACTGCCTCAAAACTAATGCAAAGTGTAGAAATTCACTAGCAAAATCGATCAGTTTTTCTCATTTGAAGTTCTATCGGGAAAAACGAATCATACCACGACAATTAGCTTGTCGAGCTCTACAAACTGGAATATCTCCCATTCGAAACGATGATTCACACTTGGGGACCTTTTCTCGTCAGTGGAACAAAGATTAGGAAGACGGAATTTTTCATGATGCATAAAGTAACTCAACATCTATATGCTATGTAAAATTAGCGGACAGAATTTCCAGAATCCAAAGATATACACTGTTTTATCTTGTAAAATTACGTTGTTAACGAAGAAATTTGCCTAGAGATCTACTAATTTAACAAAGATATCAATAGGAGTGCTATTATACAACCACTGGTAATAAGGAATAACGACCAAAACAGACATAAAGCAACACATAAGTAAGATATAGAAATACTTTGAATCATCGGTTAAATTTCCCCTTCCAGACTAAAGTATTATGAAAAGGTTTAATTCTATTTTCCCAATACAGATTAATCTCAAAATGTATACACTATCAATAGAAGATGTATCAAAGGATGAATGGTGGAATCCGTGAAGTCTAAGATTCCTTCCCTTGGATCCCATACTATCTCTTCGATTCCATAAAACTCCAGAGAATTTTCAATAATCTCCTAAGAATCTATTCAGGAATGCTATCTGCGTCACAAGGGCTTTCCATATCGATATTTATTTTTGTTTTTTGAGCGTGAGTTTTGGTGAACTGAAGGCTCATATCCGCATTAATACTTGCACACACCCTCCTCTGGTATTTATTGCTTTGTTATGACTTTATTATCGTAATAATATATTATTTCTCATTGATTTATTATTAATAAAAAGTAATTGGTAATAAAATAAGTAGACACTATTTCATATTTCGTAAGTAACAAACAATAAAAACTAATTTTATCAACATAGCAACAACAAAGCAAATGCTAATACAAAGTGATAATAATTATAACCAATTACTGAGTAATAGTAATGTAGCGCCCTTAAATATTAACTAAAACACAGCTTTTCTTATTTATTGACAATGAAAACTTGCTAATCGACTATTGTACAGTAATACTTGATTTTTTATCATTGTATTTTATTCATCATAGTTTTGAATGTTTCATCTAATACTAATAATAATTTTCTTTTTCTTTCTTAAGATCTGCAAAAAATGGCGAAATTGCAACAGTATCATTAAGCATAGTTTGTTTTATCATCTCGTGTAGAAAAAATTTATTTATTTCTTTATTTTTTTGAATAGATTCTTGAAGACAGAGATTATAGTTATAAATATATTTCAGTACTTATTCAACTGTTTGTTTTGATAAGTGTTTCAGTATCATTTATAACTATTGGTTCAATATTATATCATACAAGTAAGATTATGCGATTTATATTTCATTATATATAGTTAGTTTTCTATAGTCATAGGTATTGTCGATTCATATTGGGATGTAACGTTCACAGCTGAAACAAAATATCGAGGTATTTTCAAATATCTTACTGTACAACGGTTAGTAATTGATTATGAAATATTTATAGTCATATAAATTTTTATTTCTATTCATCGTAGAGTTGTTCGATGGACTTTATGGTTGATAGCCTTTACAATTGTATTTGCAGTTGCATTTAATAACCCAAAAGTTAGTACAAAAAAAAACTTATTGATCTATTAATTCAAGTTATTAAATAATTATAGGGTTTTAAAATAATTCTTGAACAAGTTACAAATCTTTTAATAAGTATTCAAATGGGAGTATTTGTTGCAATAATGATCTATAAAGTATCATCACCAATATTCAAGTAAAATCAGTTGATTGATATTGTTTGCTTTGATTTTCCGAAATATTTTTGTTTTAGTTCACATACAATTCCATTTCAGTTACCAAATTGGTTTTTTTATTTTCAATATATCATTCCTGTTTATTTTATTTCTATTCTTATTTATGATATTTATGTTATATCTCAACATTATCGTTTGAAAAATAAAGGCAATTGACATTCTTATTGTTCTTTTTAATGTCAAAACAATCTATATTTTGAACATTTGGCTCAATTATTTCAATCTTTTTCTACTAAATATGACGTCCCTTGTTTTTTTTTCTTTTTCTATTATTCAACAATCATACAAGTTTTAGAATTTGATAGTTTTAGATAAAAAAACATCATGCAATCAAGATCACCTCGCATTGGATTTGAAGGAATACTTTCTGATGAAAAGAAATCTTTTATAGGTTTCGAACAATATGAAGATGAATCAAAGGAACATGTGATACCTGCTTATCCTTTAAGTATGATTTTGAACTATCTTTCAATTATTAGTTTTATTCTATAGTTACAAAATTATATACTGAAAACCCATCAGCTTTCTATTTCGACCCGAAAGTGGAGCTAACATGTACACAGAAGTTGAATGTTGTGAATACTCGAGAATTATAGAGTGAATGAGAGTCCATAACTAAAACTCATTGTGTCGGGATCCGAAAATTTTGGAGCCGATAAGCTCTATCTATCAGAAATGAAACTTATCTCGATCTAATGTTCTCTTCGTAGTTATAAACACAGCACTCTGCAAATACAAATGTAGTTTTTACTATCGTTTACTCATAGGATTCCATCAATAAGATCTGTATTCTCATCACCGTATGTATAAAATTAAGCAATGTAAAACTGCAAAATTGATACTTTGTACTATCATAATACTGTGATGCAATTTCTCTTATCACTCTATATAGTAGTTTTGGGTTCGGCAGCTACAGGTCTACGCTTTTGTGGACACGAACTCAAGCAAAGTTTTGCTTCTGGAACTAGAGCCCAAAACAACTGAAACTTTGAATACGAACATGGTCGTGTTCGGATGCGAGTTTTTTACATCAATTATATGGCATCCTTTTTGTGCATAAACAAGTAAAGTATCAGAGTTTTAGCTATTTCTGTATTACTCTCAGTAAAAGAAACCGATGTGCACTTAGTTCTTATTACGTTTATTCTCATTACTCGATGGTTAATTAATAAAAAACTTTTGCTTAGTTGAATAGAATATTATATTAACAATAAACACAAAAATCTTCAGCTATAAGGGATTGTTTTATTTATATTTATGCTAAACAGATCAAAACCAGGTATTTTGTATTCATACGTGTTTGGAGATATTTTCAAAATAGAAACAAACCATATGTTCTCCTTTTGAGAAGCATAGGATCATGTCTTAAAACAGCATGGACATAAAACAATATAAATCATATAGAAATACAAATATATGAAGTACTCTGCTTATCTCTTATTGTTTTCATCCTTTATTTTTCTAGTAAAAACAATTGTTATTCATTTTCATAAACAACAAGTTTTGCTCATTATTTAATAATTAAATTAGAATTTCAATTCAAAATATTAAAAATTTTCATACATATCACTCATAAATAATCTACTTGATAAAAAAAACCTAATGAATTAAATAACAAGAGAAGAATATAGTTTTCATGTAAAATATATATTAATCTATTGTTGCTTTTTTTTCAATCTATTAGATGATACTATGCCGAATCCAAATCGACCTCTTGGAAATGATTTTTTTGATTCGAATTATTCATCATCTATAGCTCAATCAATACCATCTCCTTCACATTCATTACGACCAAATACTAATACTTCTACATCAACAAGAAAAAGTCTTTCATATCCAGAATTATTTGCTATTTACAACGAAATTGTTAATGAATGGTTTCAAGTAGAATGGCTTATATTTGTTGATGATCATAAAGAGACTTATTTAACATTAGATTATAATACAAAAGACTATATAACTGTACAAATGGCTATTGATCAATATTATCTTAAAAGTGGTAGAACATTGCTTGTTTTTCAACCTGAATGTTTATTAATTCGAACAAGAACAAAATCAAAAAGTTTATTTTTACCGAATTCAAATATTTCAATTCACAATTTATTAGAAAATAATAATTCTCAACGATTATCTCGATATAAATTATTGGCTATTCTATGTGATTCAAATGAAACAAATAGTAAATTAATGTTTTATAAAGATAAACAATCAAATAATTGGTATGTTTATTATAATCAATCGATATCATCACCTTCACATTCCAATATATTGTCAAATGATGAACAATATCAACTAGAATCATTTATTCAACACAATAATCAAATAAATCATATTGCTCTATCGAAATTTACATCTCCTTTATCAGCTCTATTTAATCATCCAATTATTTATGTATATATACCAGAAAAAAATTAATGAAAAGTATTTGTCACGTATGAAAGAACTTCGAGAATTTAAAACATTGATATTGTAAAATAGAAATATCTCATTTCTTTTTATTTAAACAAGACAATTATTTAGTTAACTCCTGTTGTAATCGATATTATGATACAGATGATTGTGTTTTTATTTTTATGACTGTATATGTGCAATGCAATGTCATAAGAGAATGATTATCTATGCTTCAATTTGTTGTTTTTTCTTTTGAAAACGAGATTTATTTTTATGTCTTGCCTTACTTTTAATAAATGTATATTCGCTCTTTTTCTTGTTGTAAATTCCACTAATATAGAGTTCGAATTAAACTCATATATTGATGTGTGACTAATATCGTTAAAGAGCCAGTTCTTAGAATTTTAAAAACTCAAACATTCAAGAAAGGACAAGAAATTATTAATTAAGACTTCAATGAAATTGCACGAATTGAAAGAAAACTGAGGAAGTGACAAAACAGTTCTCCAACGAATAAATCACTTTTGATTCAAGACTATGCGTATCTTGAAAAGACTTGATACCCTGACAGTATTGCTAACTCTTTTCAAGATGTGCAAAGCTTACTTGAGTCTGTTTAATACTTATAGTCTTCAATCAAAAGCGATCTATCGATTGGACGACTTCTTTCATCAGTCATACTTGAAAACATGCGGAACGCAAGATTTATCAGCGTCTGAAATTTTTCAATTGATTTCGATGGCTGATACTAAGATAAACCTAACGTTACTTGAAAACTTTAAGACAATCACAATTTTTCAGCGTCATTCGAAAATTAGTCATCATTTTTCGAAGCCGCAAATAAATTTCTAGTTGCAATAATTTCAATTTCATCATACAATAGATGTTCACTTGTCAATATAGTGTAACAAAAGAAAAATTTAGAACATCTGTTTGTCAGTTCTAATGTCATAACCAGATGCGTAAAACGATGACGAAATAATGACGAATGTGGACCGAATAATCATCACACATACTGTTATTATTGCCGAAAATCTCCATGTGTGACCTTGGATTAACTATCATACTTCTATAAATTTACTAAGGCAGTACACTGATGCCAAATAAAGAAAGATTAAATGACGGAATTTGTGCAAAGAAATTATAAACAATTTTTTTGTAAACTAATTGCTGTTCGCATAAAAAAATATTCCTTTTTTCTTGTTCTATTTTTCGATAAAAGCTTTATCAAAGTATCAAGCAATGTAATAGTCTAATCTTTTTTTTTATTCCATTGTAGAATTAGTATCACAATAGAAACAATTATTTGCAGAGATTGAAATATAATAATATCATGTTAAACTTATCAAAAACAACAAATTACTCATAAAATGATTCTAGGACAATACAACCTAATCTTTCCATATTGACATTTATGTTGTTTTCAGCTCAATAATCATTCAGATGAATGAATTACAGTCAGTTTCTGTCGAAAAATGGTAGAAATTTTGACACTGAAATCCTGTGATTCGATCCAATGGCTTAATTTTCTCAGTTTTGGTCGAAATCGATCATTGTTTTATGAAAATGTATTGCTTAGAACAAAATCAGATCGAAAATCTATTGTCATGTTTTTGATTGAGCAATATATATATATGTACACATACATTCATTGAATGAATTTATGAAGGTCTTGTTTTAAATCAGAATCATAAACTTATTTCCGAAATGTGTAGCAAAAAATGATATGTATTTACAAAGTTGACTTTTTACATTACATTTAAACTGTGAAATAAGAAATGTTATCCGAATTCGAACGTGTAAAACTATGTGTATGAATCGATGAATTGGTCACTTATCATCATCACTAACTTGTGTTTTTATTAGATCTGAACAAATAAAACGGTAGATTGAACATATGTAGGCTTGCTCAAATATAATTCATTAATCAAATGGTTGATATAATTATTTTTTATAATTATTAAAAAGAAATGAATAGTTACTGAACATAATCAATAATGACTTAGATAAGCTAATTCAATTGTCTCTCAAAAAAAATAAATGAAATCGATTATGACATTATATTTATTTCATTTGAAGAATGAGGAAGCAAACCAAAATTGACAGATTTGTTCTATTGATTATTCAGTGCATGACAAAAATTTCTTCCCTATTGAAACAGAATACGATGTTTAGAATGTAACATATATTATATATACACATAGAAGACTTCGATCCATACACTATGACCACTTCGACTTTTTTTGTTGCTTGTTTCTTTGTTTGATTAAGTAGAAGTATAAGAATCATCGAGTCAGATGGCTTCATGTAACACCGGGTGGCATGTTTGATCGAGTCCTGCTCTTAGCTCTTCATCTTGACAAATTGACTATGCTTTTCTAACTATTTGTTTAAAAGTATGTCAATGATACTCAATCGCAATGAACTCAGAGGATTAAAGTGATCGATCTGAAAATTGAGTTTCTTTATGATTATACACTAGTTTGATTGAAGCGCGCTGTTTACGTCAACCTAAGACAACAGATCTATATATATCTATCAATGTATGACACCTGACTAAACCACTGAGCTCATTGAACGTTTCAACACATAATTTTCGATTACCTGTTTTTAGCCTTCCATGAGAGAAATTGTGTGATCTATTAGTTTATCAAGTTTAGTCAATAATCTTATCATGTACAAACAATCAAGAATATGAATAGTTACTTGACAATCACTATGACGTTACCTGACTGCTACACTGAGTTGTTTCATCCACCCTCTAG